CCGACTCCGGGGAGGTGTGGAAAGCGCGCAGGAGGCTGGCCCAGAGCGCCCTGAAGAGCTTCTCCATCGCGCCCAGCCCCACGTCGTCCTGCAGCTGCCTGCTGGAGGAGCACGTCTCCAAGGAGGCCGAGTACCTGGTCACCAAGTTCCTGCAGGTCATGGAGGAGCACAAGAGGTTTGAGCCCTACCGGTACGTGGTGGTGTCGGTGGCCAACGTCATCTGTGCCATGTGCTTCGGCAAGCGCTACGAGCACGAGGACCAGGAGCTGCTCGGGCTGGTGAATTCCACGGAGAAGTTCACTGCTGTCACTGCTGCTGGCAACCCCGCCGACTTCATCCCCCTGCTCCGCTACCTGCCCAGCCGCAGCATGAAGCTCTTCATCGACTTCAACAGGTACCTCCTCAGCTTCCTGCAGAAGAGGGTCAAGGAGCACTACGAGAGCTACGATGAGGTGAGAGCTGGCAGGACCTTCCCCTGCTCTCCTCCCCTCCCTGTCAGGGAGGTGTTTGTGTTCTGGCAGCCATTGTCTCTCCCCAGTCCTCCTCCTCCTCACAGAATCATAGAGAATTGTAGAATCATGGAATATCCTGAGCTGGCTCACACATGGATCATCCAATCCAGCTCCTGGCCCTGCACACACACCCCAACATCCCTGACAGTGTTGTCCAAACTCTCCTGGAGCTCTGGCAGCCTTGAGGCTGTGCCCATTCCCTGGGGAGCCTGTGCAGAGCCCCACCACCCTCTGGTGAGGTGATGGGATAAACAGAAACTGTCGGGACTTCTGTTTTATCTGCTTCATTTTATAGCAATCATTGCCTGTTTTGCTTCCTGATATCCTTGTACCCTTTTCCTGAAGTTCCACCCAAACCTTCCCAGACTCAGCTTCATGAGCCTCTCAGGATCTCCTCCATTCCCTGTGTGATGTGCCCAGCCTGGTGGTTGAACATCGGGTTCCTCAGAGAACCCTCTCCTTGTTTCCACAGGGACCACAGGAGCTGAGGGACGGTGCTCCCCAGAGCTCGTGTGGCCCCAGGCTCCCCCAGCACTCTGTGGGGCCGCCCAGGATCACCCACCCCTCTGCAGCCCTGCTCCATGACCTTGCCTCCTCTTCCTCACAGAACAACATCCGGGACATCACGGACTCCCTCATTGAGCAGTGCCTGGACAAAAAACTGGGAACCAACACAGCCACGCAGATCCCCAAGGAGAAGATCGTCAACCTCGTGAACGACCTCTTTGGAGCAGGTATCCTTCACCTTTCCTCAGCTCTGGCAGGTGCTCTCAGGTCTTCTCCAGCTCCTCCTGCCTGACCCCTCCTTGTCCAACAGCAGGCAGCTGGTCTGGGTCTAAGCACTCGCCCTCCTGCTCTGGAAAAGTGAAGGGCATGGGTTATGTAGCTCAGCTGAACCTCACCATCTAGAGTGGTTTTTCCAGGCTGAGGGACATGTCTGTGGGCTGATTCACCTTTCTGTGGAAATTCCCCCAGTTCTGGAGAAGCTGTACAAACCTGACACAACCCAGGAGCGGGACAGGCTGAGAGAACAGGATATTTTAGCAAAGTTTGTTATGGCAGCCCCAAGCCCTGCTGCGTGTCCAGGATGTCCCCTTCCTCCTCAGCCAGCCCAGACTCCTCTGTGAGATGGTCAGCCCTCAGGCCAGGGTGGGTGCTTCTCAGGTTTTGTGTTGCTGGAATGGCTCCCATGGTATTAAAAGTCTTTTTACCCAGCCCCAAGCTATTGGAGAAGTAAAGATTCCTCACCTCTGCTTTTCAAGGTTGTTTATTTTCTCTCATGTAATACATTCTTTTTCGGACCTGCTGAAGTCTGTCCAGCAGGTTGGGTTGTGGCACAGTGACAGCCCTTGTGGTGGTGTTCCCTTTTTATACTAAGAACTACCTGTACTTTATTTACAATAATTTTCCAATACCCATCACCTATGTTAGACAGTTTGTCTCTGTCCTAAACCAATCCAAAAGTGTCACCATCACAGCAGAAGATGGAGGACAAGAAGAAGGACAGGACACGCCCAGATTCCTCCATCTTGCCTCTTGAACCCCCATTCTAAAACCCCAAAATTCTAATTTTTGACCTGGTGATAAATTTACTATCATTCTACTCAAACTCTTGTGGTCTGTAAATCTTCACCCAAAGTTGGACATAGTTTCCATGGGCTAAAATCAAAGGCACAGATGGTTTTGACTCTGTGCCAAGGTCTCTGAGCCCCTTGCCAGGGTCTGGAATCACCCAGGGCAGCCAGAGG